GAGATGTATCAGAGACCACTTGCTGAGGCACCAGAGACAATCTGAATTCCCGCCTGGTAAGTCCACAATAGACCGTACCCTATCTCTTCGCGATTGTAGAGCGCCGACGTGAGTTCGGGCGTGGGCTGCTTGCAGCTTACATCGTCTTCTGGGCTAGAGCTACATCCAAAGAAACTGTGGAGCAACTCTGGGCAATATCAAGGTTACTGACCTTGACATTGCTGATGATGTTATTAGTCTCTGGAAACCCTAGAGGCATCTAGTGATGCATTTAGCAATGAAGCAAAGCCCCTGGGGCTAGAGGTCTCTAGACCTGAACCAAGATTCAGGACTTTGGGGGCCTGCTAGGAAATCCTGTTCAGTTGGTACGTGTTTACGGTGAGAACATCGAGGTCACAGAGAGTTCTATACCTCTGTAGTGCAGGTCTTAACTCCAGGCTGTCAGACCAGGAAGCCGGTAGATGAATTGGCCTGGCAACAGGGGTCATGAAATCTCTCGACAAGAGTATTTGGAGATGCCAGTACCTGTGCAGAAGGACTAAGTTTGTGTTCAAGGCCCTGATACTGCCAGTTTTGCTATACGGCAGTGAAACCTGGATGCTATCTTTTGTTTTGGAATCTCGTCTTGATGCTGTTTGTAACAGATCCTTGCGCCAGATCATGACGTACAGTTGGAAGGACCATGTGTCTAACCAATGGTTGCACCATGAGACTGGTACAGGACCTGTTATTTGCACAATCTGGCTATACGGCCAACTGGCTCGTTTCCCACTGGATGATCTTGCCCGCCTGGTTGTCTCTGTTCGAGACAAACCTAGGTGGAGGAGACCTGTGGGACGACTTAGGAAGTCGTGGCTTGGGCAGATCGATCAAACCTGTCATGAAGAGCTAGAGATGGCGGGGGCCCCCGTCTGGCGGCTCGCCATGAGGGACCCTCGTAGGTGGAAGCAAAGGGTGGATGCGGATAAGCGCCCCTGTGTGCACACACACACACACACACACACACACACACACACACACACACACACACACACACACACACACACACACACACATATATATATATACGCACATGCATATATATTTTTTCTTTTATATGTATGCATGTATATATATACATATTTATATATACATATTTATATATGTATATGTATACATATTTATACAAATATATATATATGTATGTATGTATACATATACATATTTATAGATACATACATACATACGTACGTATAAATACATATATATATATATATATATATATATATATATATATATATATATATATATATATATATATATATGTATGTATGTATGTGTATATGTATATATGTATATGTATGCATATATATACATGCATATATGTACGTATGTATGTACGTACTTTTTGTATGTATGTTCGCATGTATGTATGATTATACATATATGTTTTTTTATGTATGTATGTGTGTCTGTATGTTCATGCATGTACGTTTGTATGTACATTTGTATGTCTGTATGTTTATGCATGTATGTATGTATGGATGGATGTGTGTGTATGTATGTATGAATGTAAATATGTGTGTATTCATGTATATACGTATGAACGGATGGCTTCAAATCTACATCATAAGCAAGACTTTGTACCTCGACAGGCGCCCTTGTAGGCTCTCGGAATCTCTTTCTGGGCGCGGCAAGATGCTCGCTTCAGGTGGCAGGGCGAGGGGTGCGTCCGTCCGTCGGCGCCGCAGATCGGTCGGGGCTTCTCGGGGGCTGGGCAGGTCGTGGGGCATCGGACGCAGCGTGGGATCAGCTGCTCGTCTAGGACACAGGTCTTGCCCGCGCTGCAACGCACACCGCTGCATGCTGGAGGGAGAGTGAGGATCTTATGGAGTTAAACGAGGTAAAGTTGCCCGTTGTCTATTGCTACGTCTGTGTCTGTGTAGCTGGCTATTTATGATAGTATTTTTTTCTTTTCGCTGCTAGTCTCTTTCTCTCTTTCTCTCTCTCTATCTATCTATCTATCTATCTCTAGCTAGTTTGGAAAGATGCTTTGATATCTTACCCTAGTTTTTTGTAGGGTATGTACACTGTTTTGTAAATACATTCTATCAAATCAAATTCTCTCTCTCTCTCTCTCTCTCTCTCTCTCTCTCTCTCTCTCTCTCTCTCTCTCTCTCTCTCTCTCTCTTTCTGTCTATCTATCTATCTATCTATATATATATATCTGTTTATCTATCTATCTATCTCTATCTATCTACTCCTCTCCCCCCCCCCCAAGAACCCCAACCCCCCACCCTATACTCACTCTGACAAGGTCCGTAATGCGTGACGAGCAGCCGCCGCTTCTTCCTGCACGCCCGCTTCAGGAGGTGGCACTCCGAGACGTAAGTCCGCCCATCGGAGCCACACACGGATGCCTTGTGCTTCAGGTGGCACTGGGGGCTGCACACGCACCTCGGGGCACCGTCGCGCACCACACACTTCCGGTCCTCCCCGCAACGCATGCCGGTACATGTAGCTGCTGGGAGACAGAAGGGAAAGGTCCTGATTTCTGTGTTAATTGGGTGACTGGAATCTTGGACTGTTTAAATACTTGTGAGTTGGTTTCTTTGGTTTGGTTTGGATTGGATTAAATTGGTTTTAATTGGTCGGAAGAAATACATTTAGGAGATCCAGGGAGAAGAGGAATGTTGGAAAGTGACATTTTATTCTCATTCGATCCCAAACAAGCCATATATTTTGATGAGAATAATGATTAAAGCTATTATCCTTATCTAAATACTGTCATTATTCCTGTTATAATCATCATTAAAATAATCTGGTTAAAATAATCACTTTTATTGTTATCCTTGGCTTATCTTCATAAACTCATGATAATCATTATCATTGTCATATACCATATCACAATGCTGTGTGCGTGCAAATTCTAAAGCACTATACGTATACTTTGTTTTTTTTTCAGATAATCATATAATTAGTGCAGATACCCACCCGCTAATATATATATAATAATACATATCTAAAGAACTTCTACAACAGCAGAAATATATGCCTTACCCTCCTCCTCCTCTCTCCTGCCACGGAGAACCTAACCCGAGAGAGAGAGAGAGAGAGAGAGAGAGAGAGAGAATAAAAGAGAGAGAGAGAGAGAGAGAGAGAGAGAGAGAGAGAGAGAGAGAGAGAGAGAGAGAGAGAGAGAATAAAAGAGAGAGAGAGAGAAAGAGAGAGAAAGAGAGAGAGAGAGAGAGAGAGAGAGAGAGAGAGAGAGAGAGAGAGAGAGACGAAAAGAGATAGAAAAGGAGAAGGGAAAGGTATAGAAAGCAATATCAAGAGATGACCTAAAAAGCGTCTAAGTTTAGAAATTACGGATTACATTCGTTTAAAGCACAAATTCATTTATTTGCAATATGCCAGTATATGCATACATACAGCATATGTATGATTATATGGAAGTGATATCTGTTGCAGAAGATATGACATCCTACCTTCCCCCTCCTCCTCCTTCTTAGCTCCCCCTCCCTCTCCCCTCCCCACCTCGCCTCAGCTTCCCCATAATCCCTCTCCCTCCCACCTCCTCCTTCTTAGCTCCCCTCTCCCCCTCCTTCCCTCCTCACCTGCTCCTCCTTGACTCCCGCCTCCTCCTCCTTAGTTCCCCTCCCCCCACCACCCCCACCCACCCTCTCTCCCCTTTCCCTCCTCACCTCCCCTCTCGTCCTTCCCACCCCACCTACCCTCTCTCACCCCCCCAAAACCACCCCATCTCCCCTCTCCCCTCCAAAAGCCACCCCACCTCCCCTCTCCCCTCCAAAAACCACTCCACCTCCCCTCTCCCTCCCTCCCCACCCACCCCACCCTCACCTCGGCCTCCCCAGCGATCGCAAATCACCGAGCTCATTCCGGCCCGACGTTTACCCCGTCGCTTCCCGGGCAGCCCGACGGAGGAGGCGCAGCTCGGTCGCTTCACAAATCAGTCACCGAAAGCCCTTGCAAGACATGCAATGGAGCCGTGGGAAGGTGCGCTCCCTCCGCCGAGATCTCTCCGCCGCGGCAGGAGGTTGGGGGAGGGGGGCGCTGGCGTTAAGGAGGGGACCCCCTGGGGAAGGGTGGAAGCGTGTGGGGGAGGGGGGGAAGGGGGAATCAGAGGAGGGGAAGGGGGGGGGAGGAAGGATGTCAGGGAAGAGGGAAAGGAAGGGAGGGATGTCAAGGAGGAGGATAAGGAAGATAAGGAAGGGAGTCAGGGAGGAGGAGGAGGAGAAAGGAGGAGGAGGAGGAGAAGAGAGGAGGAGGAGGAGAAGGGAGGAGGAGGAGGAGGAGGGAGGAGGAGGAAGAGGTGAAGACAAAGGCAAAGACCCGTATGTAACCGGGCAAATGGGTAACCGGGTACAGGTTGAGGTAGGGTAAGGTAGGGTACATATAGAAGATATGTAGAGGGGGGGGGGGGGAGGATGATGAGGGGAGGAAGGATTAATTAGGGGGGGTTAGGGGAGATTACGTGAAGGAGTGCGGATGGGGGGAGCAGAGGAGGGAGGGGAGGGGAGGAAAAGGGGAGGGGGGGAGGGGAGGGGAAGAAAAGGGGAGGGAAGGGGAGCTAGGGGACCCAATAACCTCCCCCTTACTACCCATCACTTGAACCCCCCTCCCCCCCAACACAATGTAGATCCCCTTGGCCTCCACCCCTCTCCTCTCCCCCCTCCCCCCCCTCCCCAGGCTAAGTGACCATGAATGCAGACGTCAAAAAAGTGAATAAATAGAATATAAAAAAAAAAGAAAAATAAGAAAATAGTAAAAAAAAAATAATAATCGTCATATGTCATGCTTTTACATTAGCAGTTATCATCTTTGCGTCTCGTTATGTTTGCTAATCTTAGAGGGGAGGTGAGTATCTCTGACTCCCAAATTCCAAGAGAGTTAAAATTGAATCCACCAAGGTCTTGAGGAGGAAAAAAGTCAAAGCATTTTTTTTTTAGGGGGGGGATGGGGGAGGGTGTTTTTTTTTTTCTTCTTCTCGCGCTCTCTCTTTCTGTCTGTCTCTCTCTATGTGTCTGTTTCTCTCTCTCTCTCTCTCTCTCTCTCTTTCTCTGTTTCTCTCTGTCTCTCTCTCTATCTCTCTCTGTTTCTCTCTCTGTTTCTCTCTCTGCCTCTTTCTCTCTCTATCTATCTATCTATCTATCTATATATCTATCTATCTATCTATCTACCTATCAATCTATCCATCTATCTATCTATCTATCTATCCATCTCTCTCTCTCTCTCTCTCTCTCTCTCTCTCTCTCTCTCTCTCTCTCTCTCTCTCTCTCTCTCTTCTCTCTCTCTCTCTCTCTCTCTCTCTCTCTCTCTCTCTCTCTCTCTCTCTCTCTCTCTTTGTCTGTTTCTGTTTCTCTGTTTCTCACTGTCTCTCTCTCTATCTCTCTCTGTTTCTCTCTCTGTTTCTCTTTCTCTATCTATCTATCTATCTATCTATCTATCTATCTGTCTACATTTGCTTCTTCTTTTTAGCTTAGAATTTTCCTTGTCTGGAAGGATGGCAGTTTATTCAGGACCAGGTGTATATTTAAGAATGAGGGTGATAGAAATAATTATCATGTTGCTAATCATAATCCTGGGGATAATTGCAAAGACGATAATAACACTAGTGATAAATATAGTGACGATAACGATGATAAAAGGGAGAGATGTGAAAAATAGGAAGAGATATAAATAGAAATAGTAAAGGTATTTACAGTGGATGGAATGATGGATATGATAACAGTAATAATAGCTTTAATAATAATGATGATGATGATAATGATGATAATAGTGGTGATAGTGATAATAATGATAAAAATCATAATAATAATAGTTAATGATAATAATAATAATAATTATAATTATTATTATAATAACAATAATAATGATAATAATAATCATAATAATAATAATAATAATAAGTAAGAAAAGTAAAAAAAAAATATATATATATATATATATATATATATATATATATATATATATATATATATATATGTATATATATATATATATATATATATATATATATATATATATATATATATATATGTATATATATATATATATATATATATATATATATATATATATATATATATATATATCTCTGTGTGTGTGTGTGTGTGTGTGTGTGTGTGTGTGTGTGTGTGTGTGTCTGTGTGTGTGTGTTTGTGTGTGTGTGTGTGTGTGTGTGTGTGTGTGTGACAAGATTAAATGATCACAGATCAGATTAAGAAAAAAAGACTATAGCGAAAAATACAAATAGTATTCTTAATTACGCTTGACGTTCCTTTGCTTTCCTTTCCTTTATTGTTTTATGGAGAATATCGAAAGAACAGAAATGTAACACCTTCGGGAAAATTATTTTCGTTTTGTTTGTTTCTTTTCCTTTCGGTGTGTTTGTGTGTGTGTGTGTGTGTGTGTGTGCGTGTGTGTGTGTGTGCGTGTGTGTGTGTGTGTGTGTGTGTGTGTGTTTGTTTGTATGTGTGTGTGTGTGTGTGTTAATATATATACATGTGTGTGCGTGCATGTTTGTATGAAATCATTTGGTTAAATAAAGTCAGCATTTTTTTACCCATTTCCGAAATATTAGGTCACCTTATATATTGTCTGAATCACTTTACAAATTACCTGAATATTGCAAGCATTTTACAGAAAGACCAAATGGAGGTTATCTAAACCGCGCTCCTACAAAACAGTTACGCTAACAAGAGCTTGGACAGAATATAAGTTAAGCTAATGTTAAAAGATTCCGCTGTTTCGATAAATCAAGTAATATCATCACTTCCTGGAATGTACAGGTGATTTACAACGCATCTGAATCTCTTCGTTAACACTATCATACCAGCATATAATTAAGAATGTCGGTTTTCTTTACTCTCCTTTATTTCCATGTTCAATTATTTCTCAAACAATTTCGGAATCAGTCACACGATGTCTCAGATAGCTTGTCACGGGCTCTGTAATTGGTTGAAAGGATTTGAAAGCGTGTTTCTCATTGGTTCTCGCTAAGTAAACATTTACTTCGTACTCTGAGCTCATGAATGCAGAGTAAGTTTCCCAAGTTTTGGAGTCAGTACGTGGCAAGGGAGTCATGGCCTTTGTCAGTAACTGCATGACATATGCGTGCATAGATACAGTTGTAAACATATACATAAGCGCACATACTTGCCAGACACTCAACAACGCATACACACATAAGAATTTAAAATCCTGATGTGTGTGTGTGTGTGTGTGTGTGTGTTTTGACATTTAGTATCTGGTATCCAGTCCTTGTATATAAATACGCTGGACCTGGAAAATAAACAGCGTGCCCTAAAAAGGAAAGAAAAAAAATGGCTTTGTCAATTTAGAACGTGACTGTCAAGTAGCCACGCACGCGGAGGAACGGCACATGTGGCCACAGATATGACAACCTGACTGATATGACAGCTCGAAAGATATGACGGGGGGTATCACGATATTGCAAACAGCTAGTGTTGCCATTCTACCGATTTTCCCGCTAGATCT